TTTCTTTCTTTCTTTCTTTGTCACACCTGGCATTGCTTAGGGGTTACTCCTGGCTTTGTACCCAGGGATCATGCCTGGCTTTTTGCTCAGGGATTACTGCCTGTACTTCCAGAAGCCTCAGCAGTCATGTTCACACCCCAAAGCTGCCAGTTAAAAAGCTACCACAGCCTTACCATCTCAGTAAAAATACTGAATGCTCTGAACAAACACGATGACCTCTTACCTCTTAGTACCTGTATGGCAAAGCATAAGGAAAAGGAGAGAGAGAGAGAGAGAGAGAGAGAGAGAGAGAGAGAGAGAGAGAGAGAGAGAAAAGTGCCTGCCATAGAGGGAGGCTGGGGTGGAGAACGGGATGTTGGGAGATGGTGGTAGGGAAACGGGACATTGGTGGTGGGAAATGTACACTGGTGGAGGGATCAGTGTTGGATCATTGTACGACTGAACCCAATCATGAACAGCTTTGTAACTCCAGTGTGCCAACCATGTGAAAGGGTGTGTCACGACCAAGTGTGTGACTGACAGCAAACTCTGCACAAGCACAGTGATAGTCAGCCCAATGACAACCACATCCAAAGGAGAGAGGGAGACGTCAGAGAGAAAAAGAAATGGGTAAATTCATAAAATACTCAAGGAATCACAAACAACTATGCCAATGATTTTGATGATCTGAAGAAAGTTTAGAAAGACAATCTGCCACAGCTTAGCCAAGAAGTTGGCGGCCTAAATGGCCTGATAGAAACTGAACATGCAGTTTAGAAACCTTCCCACAGAGAAAACTCCAGGCTTAGATGCCCTCTGAATTCTCCCAGACATTCAAGGAAGAAAAAAAAATACAATTTTGTGCATACTCTTTCAGAAAATTGAGTAGGAGGCATACTTCTCGATTCGTTCTGAAAGGCCAATATTACCCAGCATCACATGGAAACTCAGAGCAATATTGCTCAAAAATACTGACACAAAAATTCAAAGAGGATTTTAGCAAATCAAAGCCAACAACACACAAAAGGGTGACATGACATCAAGTGGGGCTTACCTGAGAGGCAATGTTGAATTCACATGAGAAAAAGCAATCAGAGCAACATATTAACAAACCATATGCTTATCTCAGGAGACACGGTAAAAAACATTTGACAAAATCCCTCATCATTCCTCATAAATATTCGCAGCAAGCTAGTTATAAAAAGACACATCTTCAACATGATAAAGGAAATGTATAAAAGTTCAGAGATGACCCCAGAAAGCCAAAAGTTTGAAGCATGCTCTTTTAGATCAAGAACAAGACAAATAATGTCTGTAGTTAGTGAAATAAGGCAAGAAAAAAGCCACCAGACTGAAATAAAACTATCTACTTGCAGACACAACCATCAATGCAGAAGATCCAAAAGTCTACAAAATAGTCACCTAAACAAATGAGTTTTTTGAGATTGCAGGCTGCAAGATTAATATATATAATTGTCTTGTAGTTCTTGGAATTAGCAAAAAAAAAAAAACCCTGAAATTTAAGAATCACTTGTAATAGAGGTGAATAGTAATCTGACAAAATATGTAAAAGACTCACAAGCACAATGCTAATTCATGAGAGAATAAAAGAAAGGGAGAGACACCAATGGAAAGAGATGCGGTGCTTGCGGGCTGACAGATTGAGCTTCGTTAAGAGGTCTGGGCTCCTCAAATGTGATGGACAGACGCAAAACTTAGGCTTTCCAAATTTAACTGATTCTAAAATCTGTGTGGGAATGGAAAGGACCTAGACCACCCCAGGTCACAGTCACAGTCACAGTCCTCCCATTGTTCATCGATTTGCTCGAGTGGGCCCAGTAACGTCTCCATCATGAGACTTATTATTACTGTGTTGGCATATCGAATACGTCACGGGTAGCTTGCCAGGCTTTGCCGTGCAGGCGAGATACTCTGGGTAACTTGCCAGGCTCTCCAAGAGGGGCGGAGGAATCGAACTCAGGTCGGCAATGTTGGCCGCTTGTAAGGCGAATGCCCTACCGCTGTGTTCAGGCCACCCCAGGTAAGGATGAAAAAAGGAACCTGACCACAACTTTAAAAAGTACAGTTCTCATCACGATCACAACCATCCTGTTATTCGTCGATTGCCTCGAGCAGGCCTCAGTAATGTCTCCTTCATCCTAGCCCTGAGATTTTTAAGACAGTGCCCTATTCAAGGCTCTTTAGGAGAATGAGACCCATCATTGTTATTGGTATTTGGCATACTGGGTACACCACGGGGAGTTTGCCAGACTCTGCCGTGTGGGCAGGTTACATTCGGTAGCATACATACAGTTCTCATAAAGTAACAAAATAGGGGTCTAATACCCAAGAATGGCCGAGATTAGTACCAGGAATTTTACTCCATGGCTTGGAGGCCAGCCACACATGCTAGGGGAAAAGGGAGCTTAGATAGCGAAGGGAGCACCAAATAAAGGGTGTTGGGAGGATCCTCCCAGGATGGGAGAAGCATGTCGAAACTAGACTATAGACTAAACATGATTGTCACCCATTGCCTCTTTTGCAAACCACAACACCCAATAAGAGAGCGAGAACAAAAGAGAATGCCCTGCCACAGAGGCAGGGTGGGATGGGGGGGATGGGGGTGGGAGGGATACTGGGATCCGTGGTGGTGGGAAATGGGCACTGGTGGAGGGATGGGTATTTGATCATTGTATAATTGAAACCCAAGCACAAAAATTTGTAAGCCTACAACTGTACCTCATGGTGTCTCACTAATAAAAATTAAAAAAATAAAATAAAAGTACAGTTCTCAAGAGACTGATGTACTGGTATGATGGTCAATAGAGATATGGAGGGGTTGGAGCGATAGCACAATGGGTAGGGCATTTGCCTTGCATGCGGCCAACCTGGGTTCAACCCCGTGTATCCCATATGGTCCCCCAGAACCGCCAGGAATAATACTTGAGTACAGAGCCAGGAGTAACCCCTGAGCATTGTCAGGTGTGACCCAAAAATCCAAAAAAAAATAGAGATATGGAGGCAACATAACATTCGGACAAGTGTTTTTCATCAATGGTACTAAAGTAATTCAGTGGGAAAAGGAAGACTTTCCAACAAAGAGTTGAAAATTGGGAGCAACTGCATATCCAAATATCAAAATAATCAATTAAAGGGGCTGGAGATATTGTACAAGGCTTAAGGCACTTGCCTGGCATACAGTCGACCCTAGTTTCATCCCTGGCATCAATGGTGATCCCTAGTTTGACCCCTGGCATCTGTGGTAAGCCTACTACCATGAATGATCCCTGAGCACAGAACCAAGAGTAAGCCCTGAGCATCGCTGGGTGTGGAAGCTAAATAAATACCAAATGAGCAGCATAACTCACATCCTATATGAGAGAATTAGGGAGAATCTGAAAGGTGGGCATAGATGCTGGCGTGCTTGAGGCCGCCAGTTCAATCCCCATCACCACATGATCCCCCTGCAGCCCTGCCAAGTACAGCCCAAGCAGCCCTTGCCTCGAGAGTCCCAAACATTGACCCCAAACACTGATGCCTCTGAACCACAGAGCCAGGCCAGGCATCACTCAGAGTGGCCCCAGCTCCCCTGAGCACTGCTTGGGAAGCTCCCCAAAATATTAACTCCGAGCAGATATAAATGTAAAATCTAGAACCATTCGGCTGGGAGAAAACACAGTGCCCAAACTCGGAGACTTTGGTGTTAGATGAAGCTTAGCTACAGCACCAAAGACATACTCCAAAAGGACAGGCTGGGCTGCAGGAGGGGTGGGGGTGGGGGGGGACAGAAAATCCTCTGGTCTCTGAGAGGCTCTGTTTAGAGAATGAAAAACAGGCCACAGACTGGGCGGAAACATTTGGAAATCGCATATAGCTGAGAAAGGACTGGTGTCCCTGTGGTTTTGAAAGCTCCTCTCCTAGAACGAAATTCTGTGACTAATGGCTCCTTGCTCAAGAGAGACTCAGATAATCAAACACTCTAATAGTCAGTGAGAATCCGGAGCTTCAGAAATGGGCTGCCGGTCCCCCCCCCCCCCCCCCCCCCCCCCCCCCGCCACTCACCGCCTACTCAGCAGGGCCTATGAGGGTTTGCGTTTCTGACAGTTGCTGGTTTGACTACCAGAGTTTGAGGTTTGACTACCAGAGTTTGAGAACTGCTCAGCTAGAACGATTTGGACTAAATAATGAAAGATGCAAAATTTCCCAACCCCCTGTCTCCAAAGGGCAATTCCAATCTTTCTTTCTTTCTTTCTTTCTTTCTTTCTTTCTTTCTTTCTTTTTTTCCTTCCTTCCTTTCTCTTTCCTTCCTTCCTTTCTCTTTCCTTCCTTCCTTCTTTCTTTCCTTCCTTCCTTCTTTCTTTCCTTTCTTTCTTTCCGCTCTTTCTTTCTTTCCTTTCTTTCCTTTCTTCCTTCCTTTCTTTCTTTCTTTCCTTCCTTCCTTTCTTTCTTTCTTTCTTTCCTTCCTTTCTCTTTCCTTCCTTCCTTCTTTCTTTCCTTCCTTCTTTCTTTCCTTTCTTTCTTTCCATTCTTTCTTTCTTTCTTTCTTTCCTTTCTTTCCTTCCGTTCTTTCTTTCTTTCTTTGTTTCTTTCTTTCCTTCCTTCCTTCCTTCCTTCCTTCCTTCCTTCCTTTCTTTCTTTCTTTTTTCTTTCTTTCTTTTTTCTTTCCCTCCCTCCTTTCCTTTCTTCCTTCCTTCCTTCCTTCTTTTCTTTTCTTCTTTTCTTCTTTCCTTATTTCCTTCTTATCTGCCTCCCCTTTTGATTCTCTAGAGACCTCTGTAAAAGTGTGCTGCAGTTTCTGAGTAGCAAGAGGAAGCAGTGATGACATCATCACCCCTCACTGGGCCTGCCTGATTCTGGAGGGGCCTCGGTTGAATCCCTGTTGGGGTTTGGAGAGCGCGCCCTCAACCACGCACAGCCTCACACCCACTCTCCCCTAGACATAGCATAGAAGCAGCACTGGGCCCGCTGCCCCCGGCTGGTGTCCCCCTATCCCCATCAAGCCCCCAGCCACGCACGCTCACCATCCAAGATGGCCCACTGATTGTCAATCTCTGTGTGTTTCAGGTAGGAGTCTTCGATGGTGGGGTCGTAGTCAGGCACAAAGATCTTCTGGAAAAACTGGATGGTGAGGGCACTCTTGCCCACGCCCCCGTCTCCCACCACCACCAGCTTGTAGGTGGGGAGGTTGTCGCTGGGAACGGCGCTGGTGGCCATAGTGGCCGCAGGTCAGACCTGGGGAGGCAAGAGATGGAGAATCAGGAAGGGGGAGTTTCTACCTGTCCGACTAAGGAAAGAGTCATGGATTTTCTTCGCTTCTAATAGAGTGACCAACACACCATATCCCAGAGGTTTGGGGAAAGAAACACGTTTGGGAAAGTCAGACCCAGTCCCACCCTCCCACCCCAAGAGATAATCACAGTTGAAATGGTCTCTTGGGTCATCTCGACAACTCTGAGCCAAGGGCCTGGCCTCGGGACACAGGAGACACGGGGACCAGCTGCCACGTGGTCTTTAACTCCCCTCCAAGAGGTTTTTGTTTTGTTTTTTGTTTTTTTTGGCTTTTTGCATCAAACCTGGCGATGCACAGGGGTTACTCCTGGCTCCTCTGCACTCAGGAATCACTCCTGGCAGTGCTGGGGGACCATATGGGATGCTGAAAATCGAACTCGGGTCTGCCGTGTGCAAGGCAAACACCCTACCCACTGTGCTATCTCTCTAGTCCCCCTCCAAGAGGTTTCATGGTAAGTCTGCTCTCCTCCCATACAGGGGAGAAGAGAGTGCTCATCTGAGCAGAGCAGGTCTAGAGGGTCTCTCCTTACACTGACTCTGACGTGTGGGGGTCGCTGGGCCCAGAGGAGCTGAGACTGCCAAGGCTTAAGTGAGTAAAGGGCGCCACAGTCAGCGCATCTGAGCTCAGCACCCAAGGCCCTGCCAACTCTCAGAGCTCCATGGTCCTGGCCCCACCTGCTCTCTCCCCTTGCCCTCTCGGGCTGCTTGGACCTAGCCATCTGGTCAACCCCTGTTGTAGTTGGGCGAGCAGAGGGAAAGAACTGTGCTGAGATTTGTCTGGACGATGCTGCGGCCAGCTAAAGGAACAGTTCTCACCTGGAGGAAATGTTTTCTTCCCCGAGGAAGTTTGGAATGTGGAGATGGGAGGATGTCAAAACGAAATAGGTATCCTATTGACCAGGGGTGCTGACAAGCATCCCATAAGGAACAGGATCCCACCCACACAACCACACATTATTCATCCTAAAATCCAGTAATGTTGGGGGTGAGAAACCCCAAGTGAAGGGGAAGGGGACGAGGGGCAAGACATGTGGAAGAAGGACTCCAAGGGACCAAGGGAGCTTAAGAGGAAATGTACACAGGAAAACAGAGACGCCTCTGGGAGCAGTGTCATGAAGTGACCGAGAGGAGGGCAAGGAGGAAGTGGCAGCAGGGCTCCCAGGAGGGAAAGCACATGCTGCCCATACGAGAGACCCTGGGCTCGAACCCTAGCGCCAGACATTACACACAGGCAGGGAAAGGTGCTCCAAAGGGTAAGTGTGGGAGAAGGTCACCCTGGAGGCAATCTGGAGTGGCTGCCCAGGCCTCAGAACTCCCAAGGGGCAAACCCCCTCCACCCGCCTCCCCGGCACACAACCCAGCAAGATGGGAGAGCAGGGCATCAGGAGGGCAGCAGCAGCTGGGAAACTGCAGGGTTCCAAGGAGGGGACTCGAGGCACCAGGAAAAGGCCAGATAAAGAGCTGCGGGTCAGTGAGGAGGTGGCGAGAGCACCCGCCATGCGCCGCACCCTCTCTGCTAAAAAGGCACCTGGAGATCATTCTAGAAACCTGCTTTTCCACTTCTGGGGGTCCCAGATGGTCCCCTGGAGTGGGAGGGAGGGCAGCATGAGGAGGGACCTGAGGCTCTTTAAGCAGCGGCCCAGCTCCCTTCGGCTAAATTCCCGGCACAGCCTGTTCCCCCGCTTGGGACACAGGCTTGGTTAGTTATTTTTTGGTTTGGGAACAGGCTGATGATGCCTGGGGGCTGCTCCTGGCTTAGGGTGCAAGGGTCCCTCTCCAAGTTCCTCCTGCACATGTGAACCCTAGTGCCAGTGTCAAGGCAGCAGCTCCAGGCAGGGAGCTGAAAGGTGTGAAACTGCGCCCTGGGCCCAGGGAAGGAGCAGGAGTGTCACCTCTGCTCCACCCACCACGGAAGGGCCCCCTTGCTTCCCTGGGAACAGATCTGCTCCCTGCAGCACCCCCTGCTCCTAAACCACTTGCAGGCGGGGGTGGGCTGCTGGTTCCCCTGGCAACTCTACTGCACCCCACGTCTGCCCCTGCACCCGCACCCCAGCTCCCCTGCAAAAGGCATCAGCCCGAGTCGGGTGAAGCCGGTTCTGGAAAGTCAGGCTCACCCAGCCCCAGCAGCAGGAAGGGGCACAAGTCTGCCCCCTTGCCCCCAACACACACCCCTTCTCTCATTCCTGGCCAGGGAGGCCCCCGGCACACAGGAGCATTCCTCGCCTCATCCTGAGTCCACATGCAGGGGATGCCCCCTGGGTCAGGGGCAGGACTGGCCTCTAGAAGGCATGGGGGTGGGGACTCCATGACCTGTGACCCCAGAATAACCTCTCACCCAGCAATTTTATTTCTTTTTTTCTTTTCTTTCCTTTTGGCTTTTTGGGTTACTCCTGGTTCTGCACTCAGGAATTACTCCAGCAGTGCTCAAGGGACCATATTGCGATCGAACCCGGATCAGCCTCATGCAAGGCAAAAGCCCACCCCACTGTACTATGGCTTCAGCCCCACCAGCAATTTTCAAAATAGGATTGGGGTGGGGTCAGGAGTCAAGGGGCAGAAGCTTCTGGAAAAGGGCTCAGGCAAGGCCGCTCAGGGTCTCAGGAGGACAGCCGGGGCGGCAGGTTGGAGATGAGTTTCCAGCTGGGACTCCCTGTGCCCCCAACCAGGCACCTGTTTTTTATCTTCCAGGGCCTCAGTTTCCTCGTCTGCAAAGCAACAGGGTGCTCAGGACCATGGGGAACCTGGTGACAGAGCCCTGGAGCCTTCCAACATGGGCGAATTGGGAATGATCTGGAGGACCCTGGACCCCCCCCCCCCGCCCCCAGTCTGCTGCCCCTCTGGCCCCCAGCACACCTCCAGCTGGCCCTGGGTAGTGGTCTGGTGATACCGCTAACAGCTGGCCTGGTGGGGGGGCGCTCCATCTAGGGGCTTTTGGGGAGGAATGCGGGGAGGAATCAGGTTCATCATCTTCACTGAGCTGAGTCCGCCTGGGAAGCTGGTTTCATCTCTGGGAGTCTGGGAGTGCCTGTCCCCAGGGCCTGCAGGAGAGGGGTTGGGCGGGGGAGGGGGCGCCCCACCCATGTGGAGGAAATGGCTCTGCATTCCAGGAGCCCTGCCCCTCTGCACTCTTCCCAGAAGCATCTCCCCAACCCCTGCCGAGCTGCTGGGGGCTGTGCTGGCCTCTGCAGCCCCCTGCCCCGTCTCCTCACCCCCCCAGCTGATGTCACCCCAGAACCCTCACTGCCCCACAAGGCCCCCCCACATCCAGTAAGCCCGCAGGTTTCTAGGTTTCTGTAATTATGGCCACCCAGGCCCGTGTGTGTGTGTGTGTGTGTGTGTGTGTGTGTGTGTGTGCTGGGAGGGTGGGGAGGGAGCACTGAGGGGCAACAGGGGCCCAGGGGGCCGCTTCCTGCTCCCAGAGCCCCGGCAGACATCAGCAATCAAGCACTGTCCGCTTCCCCGCTCAGGGCTGGGAGACAGCACTGCAGGCAGGGTGCTGGCCTTGCACGAAGCCAGCTGGGTTCGATCCCTGGCATCCCCAATGGTCCCCCGAGTCCCACTCGGAGTGATCCCTGAGCTCAGAGCCAGGAGGAAGCCCCAAGCCTCTCAGCCTCTCCCAAACTAAAACCAAAACAAACCTGAAATACAGCAGCCCACTACTGCCATTTCCCCCCGAAACACCAGGAGGCACCTCCTGAGGGGGTGGAGCTGAGGGGCCCTGGGACAGGGTGGCTGAGGGACCTAGCTGGTCCCCAGCGCCCACGTGACCGTGAGCACTGCCGGGTACAGCTAAGGCAGGGGCAGGAGCCACACCCAGGCAGAGTCCCTGAGGGCCTGGTCATCTGCGCTGAGGACAGTCTCGGGCATGTCTTACCACCAGGGCCCAGAGCGCTGGTAGATGAGCAGGAAGGAGACTGCACTGGGGGCTGCCACGCTTTCAGAGGGGAGGGTCCGAGAGAGGCACAGAGCAGTTCCCAGAGCTTTGGGTTTTAGAGGGAGAGATCCATGCCAGGCTACTCCTGGCTCTGTGCAGAGGTCGGGGCATCCCTCCCAGCCGTGCTCGGGGACCAGGCGGTGTCAGGGATGGAACTGGAGCCCCCCACATGCGAAGCCCCTTAGCTGGCTCCATTCCTGAGCCTCCCAACACAGCGCGGCGAGGCAGGGTTGGGCCCTGGGCCTCTGTAACCTGCTTGATTTCTCTCACCAGGCGGCAGCTGGGTGGAGAGCACTGGGACCAGGTCTCAGAGAGGGGGTGACACACTGCCCACCACCTGGAAGGAGCAGCTGGGCCCACCACACTCATCCCTGGACACACCCCTGCCCTGCTCCTAATTCAGTCAGACCGTGTCCAGCCCAGCCGGATGCTGCCCTGAGGGCCTGGAGAGGGTGTGGGGGGACAGCCTGTCCACTTCCTGTGCCTCTGCTGGGGCTTGTCCCCTGTCCCCTAGTGCTCCTGCCCTGCCCCCTGCCCCAGCTTGACGCTGGCCTCACCAGGAAGCATGAGCTTTGGACTCAGCCTGCAAGCTCAGCCAAGAAACTGACCTTCTGTGCCTCAGTTTCCTCTTCAGGAAAATCAGGCACAGAGCAGTGGGGACTGCCAGTGGCCCTGCCAGGCTTTGCTGCTGGCCTGGGACCTGGCCCCCTGGGAGGGGTGCAGGGGACAGGGTGACACCGCCTGCTGGCGTTGTTCTCATGTCCATGTGTGCCCAGCACTCGCATGGTGTAAAACGGGCCGGTGAGGTTGTTCTCCCTCAGTGTGAATTCTTCCTGCGACACGTCTCGAACTTGGCAAAGGCCCCACGAGAATCTGATGCAGTGGGTCCATCACCTCCGGGTGGGGGCATCCCTCAGAGGGGGCCGCGACTGGCCTTGTCCAGCTCCTGAAGCAGAGGGACAACTTTGCTGTGGTGCAGGCCCTGGGTTTGATCCCAGTCTCTCCAAAT